ATCCTCACCAACACCTTCAAAACCACCAGCGCACCAGCTACATTGAGCACGACGCCCACCCTGATCCTCACGACGACGGCGCGAACCTCGCCGGCCAGCATCAGCACTACCTTCAGCCGCCTTCTGGTCGCTTTACCGAAGAGTGGGACGCCAGCCAGCGCGGAAGCTCCATCATAGACGGCCACAACCCCAACAACAAGCTCGCCATGCAGCGCACTGCCTCCATCAGTAGCTATGCTGCTGGCGACGACGTCAATTTGCCCATCAGAAACGGCAATATCCTCAGGAAGAAGAGCTCCATTCGGCGCACCGGCAGTCTCGGTCGCAGCGCCAGCCGTCGCAGCAACAGGGCTGGCAGTGTCCGCAGCCTGGCTCTCCAATCCTCTTCAGACCGCGATGAGGGCCACAGCGCTTTTTATTGCCCCGTCCCAACCTCTGGCAACCCCACCATCGTTCTCGCAGAGAGATTCCAGAGTAAGCCTCGTCCACTCCGCTCTATTGTACCGCACCAGCTCTCTACTCATAACGCGACTGGTTGGCACCCGGTCGTCAAGAACCTGCCACAGACACCCAATCAGAGAATACCACTGACAATCTGTCCCTTGCAGCCTGGAGAAAGTATCTCAAGGATTTGATTGCCTACTTTCGCGAAATTCAGAGTCACTATGAGCAGCGCGCCAAGTCTCTAACTAAGCTCGGCAATGCTGTCAACAGTGTTCCCACTCCGGAAAGCTTCCTCAAGTCTGCCGGTCTTGACGATGCATTGCAGCTGCTTCGCTCATACAATAGAACTGCCGTTCAAGAAGCGCAAAAGGCCAGGGACATCGAAGAGGACGTCGTTCTCGCCCTTACCGGCCTGCGAAGCGATCTGCAGCAAAAGATCAAGGAAATCAAGCAGCTCTCTGGCGACTTTAAGAACTCTGTGGAGAAAGAGATGAACGCCACCTCCAAGGCCGTCAGCGCCCTCGCGGATGTCCTTGATAAAAATGAGGCCGACTCCTCTTCGACTACTGGCAAGCAAGATCCCTTCCTTCTCCGCCTCGCCGTCGACCGTCAGGTCGAGCGCCAACTTGACGAGGAGAACTATTTGCACCAGGTCCGTCCAAGCTTTTTTTATATCAATCCGCATTCATCTAACCTTTGTCAAGGCCTACTTGAACCTTGAAGGCTCCGGCAGAGAACTCGAGTCCATTGTTGTTGGTGAGATTCAAAAGGCCTACAACGCCTATGCTGGCATTCTCAAGCGAGAGGCCGACAACGCCGTCAGTGTTGTCGGTGAGCTGCGCGATGGGCCGATTGCCATGCCCAAGGACCAAGAATGGATCCACTTTGTCACGCACGAGGATCAAGTGGTGGATCCCACGCTGCCTCTGCGTGCCCCCGACCAGATTCACTACCCAGGCCAAGACCACTTGTCCGCACAGGAGATTCGTGCTGGACTGTTGGAGCGCAAGAGCAAATACCTCAAGAGCTACACAGCCGGCTGGTGAGTACCACGACCCAACACACACGACAGCTGTAGACTAATACCTTCAGGTATGTTCTCTCTTCTACTCACCTGCATGAATTCAAGTCGGCAGACAAGGGCCAAGCGCCGGTCATGTCGCTCTACCTGCCCGAACAGAAAGTCGGATCTCGTTCGGAGGGCGGCAGCTCCTCCAACAAATTTATTCTCAAGGGACGTCAGACCGGCGGCATGCACCGCGGCCACACGTGGGTTTTCCGCGCCGAAAGCTACGATACCATGCTAGCCTGGTATGAGGACATCAAGGCTTTGACTGAGAAATCTCCCGAAGAACGCCACCAATTCGTCCGCACCCACTCCAGAAGCCTCAGCCGCTCCTCGCGCCGCTCGGCAAGATCCGCCAGTAGCGACGGACTCGATGACGAGGACGAGGAACCCTTTACAGGCGGCCAAGTCGACACTAATCCTGCCGCGCGTGCGGATGCGGCTCCCAGACGACCCGAACCAGGTGGGCGGTTTCCATCCGATCTCCAAGTCATGACGCAGCGCGGCTTACACGCGCCTCAATCGCCCTCTAGCCTAAGTTCTGGTGCCCAGGATGATCCATCGGATATCCACGTGATTGCCGCGGCGGGCGCCTTGCCAGGATCCCATCAACCTCCTGACGGCGCTTACCAAGACAACTATGGATACGGCGGCAAGTCCGGTTATTGCCCGATGATGGACGACGTGTCGTCTCAGGCGGCCATCGCTCACCAGGAAGCGCAGTATGATGGTATCAACCCTTATACCAGCGAGCCGGTGCAGCAGCGAGAGGCGGAGGGCGATTTTCTAGGTGGGGGACATGACGTAGTCCCAGTTGTAGTTGCAGATACCCCAGTCCATGGTGACGGCCCGGAGCCGCACCAGGCGACTTCCGACGCTGCTGCGGCAGTTGATTCAAACAAAGCTCTTGATGCCAGAACTTATACCTTGCCAGGCGTCAGCGACGAACAAGTCAAGACCGTCTCGGCCAGTGCGGCTGCGGCAGCGATTCTCGACGCGGAGGTAGTACCCAGGTCGGAAATTGTCGCCAGTTCTGAGACACCCGCAGCTATTCAAAACAAGGCTCTGCAGGTCGTTCCCGAGGCAGAGGCAGCTGACCACGTCACACCTCTGGAGACGCCCCTCAGCGAAGACGTTCCCAGGCCTTCCATCAGGCCTGAGGATCACCGAACCGACAGCATTATAACCATTTCCAACCTCAACATTCCCGGCCGCTTCCCCAAGACCTCTACGACTGATGGAAACGCTACCAACGCTGTCGCATGAGGTTTCCGGTTCGTAAATTTCTTGACTTATGACGCTCGACTCTTCTTTTTCATCATCTTTAGTTTTGTCCCGCAATTGTCTTGTGCCTCTTTGACAGACGAGTTCTTCTACTCCATATTTCTTATCTTCTCTGTTCTTGCTGTATAACGCACCAATCTACCGTTTCTATACGAGATACAATCTTTGATGGTCTCTGCTTTCATGTGTAATTTATGCCGTGAGGAACATCGAGTGTTGGGTTCAGAGATGGGTTCGATTACTTGGTACGGGCCGTGAGGAAAGGCTGTGTTGTGTGTAGAGAAAGGGCAAACTGGTGGTGTTCTGTGCCTAGGTCAAGCCTTGCTTGGGATTTTGCGGCTTGATAAATACGGGCACATTTTGGTGTTTTCTTTGCTTCAAAAATGAATGTGAAAACCCTCGTCTATTGTGCCTGGCTCGTGATTTAGTGTGACGCGGTGAAGGAGACTGCATCCGCAAAAGGGCCGTGTAGATGATCAAGTCCGTCGAGGAGCGCTGCGGGGTTTGATCTAAGTATCAGACCAGTCGCCGTCAAAATACGGCATGCGGCTATCGTTTCAAAAACTTTGCATATCTCCAGCACTCGGGGTACCTACCATCCGTCAACTACCTAATGAATGATTACAGTAATTTTGCCATCTTTGAACACGAGAGGCCCTTGCCTGTCCTCTTGCGCTCTCCTTCAAAATTCTTGCTCACTACGTACTTTTGGCGAGGCTTACCTGGATGATTAAAACAGTTGCCTTCGTCTGGGGTAGGCCTAATGTCCCATGGTTGTGCTGTTGCTGGTCGCTCCTATTGAGTCCTATATAATGAGATCGCCCATCCTGCGGCGCGGTGGATCACCCGGCCGGACAGTAAATCCGCTTCAACCAATCATAGCTCTCAATTCCTAGAAACAGTAGCCTCCGCCATTTGCAGAGAGAACCTTGTCCAAAAAAATTTCACACAAAAAAAAGTGACTGGAGACGACTACAAGCCAAGCTGCCGTTTTTTTCCTTTCGACTTTTTTTAACCTCGACACGCAACTCGTTCTCGACGAGCAAAGACACGCAGTAATTTTTTAACGGAAAGGAGGTTGATTCATCGGGGAATACTCGAGTTTCCCACGCCGCGGTTCCTTGCCCCAACGAAATCGAAGCACACTTGACCGTCGACGCATCGAAAATCATGTCTTTCCGAGGCGGCTCTCGTGGTGGCCGCGGTGGTGGTACGTCAATGCATCGGGCCGGGGTCTATGTATCTGTCTACAGGTTGCCTGCTATTTTACAGAGTATTCTGCTATCGCAGTGGTGGTGTATTGGCGCGTCGGGCTGAAGGTGGCTGGCAGCATCCAATGCCGTCGTCAAGCACGAGTGACTGAGCCACGCTACGATCCGGTAGAGAAGCCAATTGCAGAGAAGGGACCATCAGACACCGAGCCCAATTTTTCCCACCGCTGAAGCGTTGCTAACCACCTAACTATAGGCCGTGGAGGTTTCCAACAGCGTGATTTCGGCCCGCCTGCCACTGTTCAAGGTACGAACGAATGCCGCTTCCGTCTCCGAGTGTCCAGACTCGTCCAGTCCGGTACAGCGCCGCCGCACTTGTTACAGCGCTAACACGACGTCGCAGAAATGGGCAAGTTCATGCACGCCTGCGAGGGCGAGATGGTCTGTGAGTCCATCAACCCCAAGGTGCCGCAGTTCAACGCGCAAATCTTCCTCGAGAACAAGACGGCCGTCGGCAAGGTCGACGAGATCCTTGGGCCTATCAACCAGGTCTTTTTCACCATCAAGCCCTCCGAGGGCATCCAGGCTACCTCGTTCAAGGAGGGCGACAAATTCTTCATCGCCCCCGAGAAAACGCTCCCCCTCGACCGCTTTATCCCCAAGCCCAAGCCCCCGCCCGGCGCGCCTAAGCCCAAGCGCGCTGGCGGTGCCGGCC